TGTGTGTGTGTGTGTGTGTGTGTGGTGGTGGTGGTGGGGGGCGTGGGGGCTGCCATGAGGAAGCTTGGCTTAAAGACATATCTCAGAGTTATTTCTGGTCTCCACCTGTCGTTTTGCTCCTCAGCATGGCTTCCTAAAAACGCTGCAGGATTTCTCAAACATGCATGAATGAGTCAAAGCAAGGCTTTGGGCATGTTTTTTTTATTAGAGTATAACATTATAACATGATATAAAACTCAAAAAAGTTGATTTTACATGATATTGTCCCTTTAAGGACTTCTAAGAGATATATAGAAAATTAGGACAAAATAAATAATGGATTTTCTCCTGATAGTAACACAGAAAGTTATTATTAAAGTGCAAAGGCAATTACCATATTATTCACATTTAACTATAAGAAAATACATATTTTTTTCCAGAAAGTACCCTAACAATTATAACAAATTATAAGTAATACTCATTTTTAGTGCCAAACTGTTCCGMTGTCTTAAAAAATGTAAAAAGTGTTTAAAATTCTGTTAAACAGCTGAATGGCAGGAAGTGTTTTTTTTTTTCAGAAAGCCCCAAGAAAAACCTGCKTTATAGCAATTATTCCTTTTACATTGACGAGTTCATTACTGGCCTTTAAATACCCTGCTACATTTATTTTATAATCTATCAATGAACACAACTCTAGCTGCTCCCATCTGCCTCCAGTTTTAATATGGGAGCTCAAAGAAAAGGAGAAAAAGTTTTGTCAGCGAGAAGTTAAAAGTATATAAATATATATTTATTTCTTTAAATGATTCAGAGCTACTTTTAGTGCCCAGCTGAGACTCATTGTGTCATTGTTCATATGTAGTAAAGTATGCAGAAAGTAATCCAATTGCAGATTGAATGGTACCTGGCAGAGTCGTTGAAGAAATTACAGCAGCAGGAAATCCTCAATGAGAAGTTTTTTTTTTGTGTGCGCATGTGAAATGAGGTCTTTGTGCAGTGTGTTTTTGTGATTGTGTTTTTTTTTTTTTCAGAGGAATACGGTGAGACTACCTGAGAGCGGCCACAACCCTCCTCACCGCCTCCTGAAGCACCGTTCTGGCAGACAGGTCGAGTTGTCCGACGGCAACACTCAGAAGCTTTTTGATCTGCRCCAGAGGCAGTCCATCGGCTGTCATGGTGACCGCCAACTCGCAAATCTTGGGCCTTTCGGAGCGCGACAAGTCGTAAAGTTGACTGTATCTCTGTAGCTGTTCCTGGAATACAGAAAACAAATAAACATGAAAAAACAGGGATAATAAAAACAAAACAGGTAGTATAGGGCTTAAAATGCGCAAGAGGTTTGTTAAAAATGATAATTAGACTAGGTGTTGAAAACGTGTTTGTTTAGCTTTATGGATAAAGAAAAAACAGCTGCAMCAGCAGTGCAAAGCTCAGTAAAACTTGTCCTTGTCTGTTAATCATCTATTTAAAAAAAAATAACAGAATTATGCAAATACATCTTTTTATCTACAWCTGTACCAACCATCAGATCTTTAGTTCTAAAGAGATTTTTTAATTTGGGGTGATCGAAAATCTTCATAAATGACCAGATTTTGCATTTTTTTTTACTTTGGAAAACAATTAATGACCTAATTATCATTCACAGATGTTGCTRGCAGGAAAAAAAAAACCTGGACTTTGGATGTGTTTTGACCATAACACTGACTCTGGGCATTACGTCAAGCCCAATAAGTGTTAAAACCAGACTTCAGAAGGAGGCTTGGAGCCTGAGGACTGAGGAGTGTCTGACTGGGAGAATATTTTTATCCACTAGCTTCATTGTAGGCTCAGACGTTCATGGCAGCACTAGCTGTTCAAGTCTGAGAATGTGTGCCAGATGAACAAATGTAGCGATTTTGGTAATATGCCAATTATGTACAATGGACATGCCGACAAGTGAATGTGCAATAAAACTAAGCTTTCAGTTTATCACTTTCTGCTTCGACTCCCAGAAGATTAACAATCATAGAGCAGTTGTCAGATTTTCCTGTAGAAYAACAGCTTTCACACAGAGTACGCTGAGCCTGAAGTTTTGGATTTATAAAATGGGTGTAATATAATTTTATTGAATTTTTTTGTCAAACCAATTAATTTTGTGATTAAGTCCAGATTGGTCAGTATCTACCAGCTGGTCAGGATGCAACTGAAAGGAGACATATCATGCTTATAAATCTTTCTTTTTCACTTTTAAATCATTCATTTGGAGACTATATAAAGTGGAACTGCAATGCTTTGGTCTGAGTTTCTCCTTATTGGCTGTGTTTCCAYTGCAAATGTGCGCTAAACTTTGTTGATATTCTTAATGTCGAAAAACACAGTTTTGCAATTGCGGTGTTTCCATTAAGTAAGAAATGCTATTAAAGTTACGTGTGAATACGCTTGTTCTAGCAATAAGTCATTACGAGCATGGCGGAAATAGATGTAAACACAGCATATTGCTACCACGACACTAACGCTCATCAGAGGAGATGTCGGCATTTTATCGAGGCTTTTGAGCGACAAGCCCCTTATACTTGGAAGCAGCTACGTATGCTGCGTTTATTTTTATTTATTTTTTTTGGGAAAATGTAGTCGGTGAGTTTAATACTTTATTTTGCTACTTCGCTGATTTTATTACTACTTTTACTTCCTGTTATCTTCTTCTTCATCATCTTTTTTTTGCCAGAAGAAACTGCCGGTTCTTAATCACGTGGCTTCCATGATGCGAAAAAAAGTGTTTCCATTGCAGTTTTGCGAAATACATCAATTTCAATACGGCCAAAAAACCACCTCATCCTAGCACAAAAACATTTTGTCGAAAAATGTTTTTTTTTTTAAATTGACGTGTTTCCATTGAGCAAATTTATTTTCGAAATTGTAATTTGCGCATTTTCATGGTCAATGGGAACACAGCTACTGTAACTCCACAAGCCCCTCTTTCACTCCTTTTCTAAAGAGGTGTCTAAAAGAAACTCGTTTTGGTGCTGTGTCTTTAAATRCAGATGCTTCACACCCCGCCCCCTTCCAGCTTCGAGAGTGGTAGTTTGATAGCAGAGATACGGCTTTAATAGTGGCACAGAAACGTTTTATTTACAATTAATCAAAAGATGTCTACAGGGGAAGACTTGTCCACCCAGCCTTGCATGTTGGAGTCAGAGTCTGACTCAGAGTTAAAGGAGAATGAAGACAAACAAATTGTAGTTGATAATTCCAGACCTTATTTAGCAGTTCCATTGCAAATTCTGTTATGTAACAGTTTACAAAATGTAATAGAGAATAGAGAAAATGAACAGGTTGAAAAATATGACCCAAACAGAACGTAAAGATATCAAAGCAGTACTGGGAGAGAGTAAATTAAACTGCTGCACTCCTAGAGACTGAGTACACAACAAAATGCATTAAGTGGATTTTGCATGAGTATGTCCCCTTTAAGGAACATTTTGGACCAGTTGATGTGCCATTTTAGCCATACATCTTGGAAAATCAACAGATTTATGTGATTATTTATTTGTATTTTTAGCACTAACAGCATATACCGTATTTATTCATGTATAATACGATCTTGAGTATAATACAATCATCATTTTTTGAGCTTATAAAGCATAAAAACCTAATTA